CATTTGCCTTTTGCCCAGTGCCAACATGGCTCGTCGATCTTCTTGGTCTTGTTAGCTGGGGATTGTCCTCTGGGCGTCTTGCCGCCCCCTTTACCATGTCCACCACTCTTGCTGGCGTCAAACACCTTTTGATCATGGCTGTACTCACAGTCCTTCCCTTTCCTGCAAGATTTCTTAATGAAATGGAAGTGACATGGTATCTTTTTCTTGTCGCGAGGACTAGCACTTCGGCTCTTTGACTTTCCTTTTCTTCCTTGCCCTTTTCCTTTGGCATGTTGCCTTGGTTGAGGTGATGGTAGTACAGGAGCAGCATCAGACTTTGCTTTGGGCTTCGGAGCGGGCTTCTCCTTTGCGTTGGCCTTTGCTTTCGCCTTGGCGTTCGCATCAGGAGGAGCTGGAGCAGTTGGAGTAGGCGCAGTCGGCCTACCACCGCCGGCAAAATCTCTGGCATACTTTTCCCTGGCCGCGACATGCTTGTCTTCTCTGATCCTGGCAATGTGGCGCTCAATCGCATTGATGAGATACTGGTAAGTTCTCCTAGGATCTCCCTCCAACCACGATTCATATTGCTTGATGTCATACATCATCAAATTGGAGTTTCTGATCTTCTTGTATAATGCATCACGCAACCAATCATCTTGGGGCACGTCCTCAGGCATCATGTTGGAGACAATCTCCATCCACTTTTCATAGAACGTTTCAATGTTTGCATCACCAAGATATCGTGATTGAATGATATGCTCCATAGTGAAGGCAGTTTCACGTTGACCTGGTGTCCTGAAATGCTCCAGAATCATGGCAAGAATCTCTCGCCCCATGACAAAGGTTGATCTTCGATTGCTGGCTTGGGTTCTCAGTCGAAGCTTGATTGCGACATGTCGAGCTACATCACCAGCCTGTGAGATAACGTTTGACAATGCAATGGAAAGCTTCGCATCAATTGACTGAAACCTTTGCCCTCCGCTATCGTTCAGAGCATCGATGTCAGGGTTTTGCCTGAGTGCAGGTTGTAACCAAGCTTCCCATGCGGCTCGATCGCCGTCGTTGGCAGCGAGGCATACACTTTTAATCAGATCAGATTGCCAAACGCCCAAATTCTGGTGCTTTGGCCACGGACTGACATAGACTTTGTCCGCCTCCCGTCTGGATATCCTTGGAGGTTCTTCAGCGGTGAAAGCAGTCGTAGACTCCAAATCAATTGCTGAATCCCTCTGCGATCCACGGAGTGAAGGCAAACCAGGCGGATTGGGAGGCCCAGGAGGCCCGTTAGGATCAGGAGGCCCACCTGGGAAGTCAGGATCATCGTTGCCGTCAGGTCTTCGGTGGTTGGGAATTCCTGCCCCTTCATCTACGCTGACCCCTCTTCCGTCCAGGATCTTCTTGTTGACCTCATGCAGGAGCTCGGTAACTCTCTGATTCTCCGGATGTGAGGGTTGCTGTTGTGCATGTCCTGTACCCGCAGCAGTGTTAGAATGAGCTGTTGCAGATTCTTTGTTGAGCTCGTCATCAAGCTGTCGAATCCAGGCACGTAGAATATTTGACTCATCATTTGCTGCCTCAATCTCACTCTCCAACTTGCCGATCATCATATAGGGTGATAGGGCACTGCTTGTGATACCTGCAGAGAAGGGAAGTGCATTGAGATTCTCTTGGCTTTTGATGGCTATCTCTGCGTCTATGAGACCTTTCCTTAATCTGGATATCTCCGCATCTTTCATCACCAATTTCTCATCCCTATCTCTCAGCTCACCCAAATATTCACATGATCGTTCATATTGTTGGGCTCCTGTGGCTAGCTTGTACTTACGTTCACTCTCAAGCTCTGCCCTAAGGATGGCGACCTCGGATCCGAAGGGGGTCGCTGACCCTTGCCTCGAAACCTCGGCCAATTCATCCTTCAATCTGATGTTGGTGTACATACATTCATCCATTTCCTCAGAAAGATCTTGGGCCCTAACCTGTGCGACCTTAACCTCAGTTTCGAGATGTTGTATAGCATGTTGGTTAGGACCGTGGCCGATGGCCATTGGGCCCTCCTGAAGAGACCGTCTCAGTTTGACGTTTCGGTCCTCAATCTCTGTCTTGAGCTCGTTCGTCAGCGCTCGCTCATTGTTGTATAGCATCTCATAGTGCTCCATCTTTTCGCGAGCATTAGAGCTGACGCTCGATTCAAACCTCAATTGAGCAATCGCCTCAGCCTCGGTATTCCTGTAATTTGCAAACCGTTTGACTGTATCATGTTCTGTGTTTCGATGACGTAGATCACTCTCCAGCTTAGCATTGTTGGCTTCATTGATTTTCTTGCGATACTCTCTAGTGATCTGCTCCATGTTGTTTTCATACAACTCGGCTTGCTTACGGGAATGACTGATTGCTTCACTCAACATTTGGTTCTCATCAGTGAGCTCGTTGACAATGAAGGCTTGTCTTTGACTTGTCATCTCCAAATGAGTATGTGAGAAGTTTGCCAGTTCGGATTGACTACGATATTCCACTATGGAACTTTCAAGATTTCTCTGCATCTCGTTTCCTTCCTTGTACAATGTTTCGGCTACACTCCTAGCAAGGCTACTGTCATGTTGCATCTGTTGAAGACGTGATTCAGTATGCCCAAGTAGTCCTTGAAGGTGGTGCACCTCATCCTTGTGCTCTTCCTGGATCTCAATACCACGTTGGTGGATTCGTCTGGCACCATGTTCGGCGAGTGCACCTCGACGTTCAAGTTCTTCGATACGAATAGTTGCACCTTCATCTTCCTTGGAGGCTAACATCAACTCAGCATGGTATTCAGATACTTCATTCGTAGAGTACATCAATCGTTTGTTGAGGGTGTTAATTTCATTGAATACCTGTTGATTGTGTCCACGAAGATATTCGGTGAACTTGGCCTCAATGTCCTTAATGACTTGATCCCTTGAAGCTGCGTACATCTCGGTTTGTGTCACTTTCTCTCTCAGAATTTGACATTGCTCTCTAAGTTCTTCAATGATAGCTATTGGTTCACTGCTACCACGTGCTTCTGTTGATCTTCTTTTGGCACTGACATCACTTGACTCCCTACCGTGTTTGTCCTCGACTGCCCTCGGGGTCCTGTGTCCGGTAGGTGTCCTTCTCGGTGATCGGTGGCTTCGTCGTGCATTCCCACTTCGAGCCACATCACGTGCCGATCTTGGAGTACCGGTGGTTGATGCTCTTCGATGTCTAGAAGTCATCTTTTGCCATCCAGATTTTGTCGTCCTTGTCGACTTTTCCCCGCTGTCAGCCGTTCCTGGAGAAGATTGTGATATACCTTCTGCAGGGGCTGCGGCGTTGCCGTCAAAGGTGAACTGCGTCTCTCCGCTGTCGCCTTGCATCTTTGCGATGCTGGTGCTGATCGGATTTCACGATCTTTTGCACCCAACGTTGGTTAACAGCACGCAGGTACTCCGCCTCCGATGGAGGTTGAGAGCCCTTACGGCTGATAACCTGTGAACAGAATGATCCCTGTTCCGGATGTGGTTCAACTCGTTTCAGAATACCTTGCGTTTGTGTTTACCAACGTTTCAACGGCATGCAGCGGAAGCACAATTGATTTTCCTTGATATGGGCACTTGAGCCAAACATTGCGTTTGGCAGTCAATCCCTTGAAATACAATGGGAAGTATGTATACTGTATTCCCATCTAGTCCCCATTTGCATATATATTACTATATTATAATATATTATAATATATTATAATATATTATAACATATTATATTATAACATATTATATTATATTATAGTATATTATATCATATTATATCATATTATATTATATTATATTTTAGATATACACGTATGTATGATATGCGTGTGTCCCAGCTACACATGTTTCATAGCGTACCCATATACGACTCGTTGTATAGCGTGCCGACATGTTATACCGAAATTCCCCCAATCAATCCCTATAAACAAGACATCAATCCCTTTTAGCTGCACAAACACTACCCATGTAGGACTGTTGTTCTTGGTAACCATCTGGGTGGGGGGCTGGGGTAGGGGATGGTAGGGGGTTGGCTCCTACCGCATCCAAGAAAAAACACCAAAAGATTGTTTTCGATGCTGCAAACAAGGGAACCTTTCACAATGTCGTATGGGTGTTTCTTCAAAGTAGGCTCCCCAAAAATCCCCTTGGTTTCTTGTCATTTTCGTATTGAAACTGCCATCAAAAGGTGGCGCGTCCCATGTCAAACAAACCACGACTCCATGCCTTGGCTCCGCCATGGGCTCAGCTATGGCCAAAGTGTCCCATCGATGCAGCGAGTTTTTGTGTCTCTCCGTCTGTTGCTGGGAAGGCTCAAACCTATGGCTTTCTCATCATACTCATTATACTTCTGTGCGACCATGTCCATGTCCATGTCCAATGTCTTGAAGATTCACTGTAAGGTGTGGCACTGCCCTGATGGACAACCTTGGGACATTCATCCCAGTTCTTGGCTTATTTCAATATTGAATCAACCTCAACGTGCTTGAAATTCTTTGGAATCTTGTCATACAGTCAATCTCGCTACATTGGAATTGAAATGATTAAGCCTGTCTGCTCACACCCAGTTCAGAAGAAAATATTTGCCTGTGAATCAGGTCGTGGTCTTGGTTGTTGAGCTACCCAGATCAATGTTTTTCAAGAGGGGGTGTCAATGCGAGTTTGTTTGAAATCTGAATTTCCAAACTTTAATGGCGTTCATCTGTTGAAGTGATGATCAGGTAATCTCAGAGCAGTGTCTCTCCCAAAGCACATCTCATTAGAAAACAACTCAGCATGAACATCTGGTCTCTTGCCGTAGCCAAGTGTATCATGAGTCGTGAGTCATGAAGTTCAAACTGCTGGCAACCTTGCTATTCCCACCATGAAATGGTGTAAATTGACACTGGCAGAATAATCAGAATATAAACCCATCACTTAGATGATTGTTTTTTAATATCTGAGAAAGGCCACTTTTCAATTTTTGCTGCCGCAGCTGTTTCAGCACTGGCTGAGAAACTAGTATTCTCGAAAGGCCGTAATCTCATCGAACCTCTCAATGCATGTGACGTTGCCGGACAGGCCCCCCGCACGGATCACGGTCACAGGCGCATCTTTGCCATCGTCGTAAGTGATCCTCGTGAAAAACATGTGGGCATAGCAGCATGTTATGGTTATTTCAAGGGGACAAATTAGTCATCAGTGATAAACCATAAAATTTTGCGGCTATGCTTAGACAACAAAAAATGAATGCGGCAAAGCAGTGAAGTGGTGCTTGGGTATGCAACAGAGATGCAAAGCAAGTAGAGCACTTGGTACTGGTACAAGTTTGCCAAGCATATGTTGCAAAATGTTGTGCCATTGGGAAATGCCACAGATGTACAGTAACCCAAAAATGGTCAAGAACTGTCCCAACAATGGTCAATAACTGTCAGGAACAAGTTCTGAAAATCATGCAGACTAAAGATAGAGATTTCATCTGGGGTGCGGTGCGGTGTTCGCTCCTGGGGTCAGGGTTTAGCCATGTGTCCAAAGCTCACTTTGGATGACCAATTTTATGTATATATAGATATATAGATATATATATATATAGGTACATAGATACATAGATAGATAGCTAGATAGATAGATAGATCGATAGATCGATAGATAGATAGATAGATATATATAGATGTATAGATACATAGATACATAGATACATAGATACATAGATATATAGATATATAGATATATAGATACATAGATATTTAGATATATAGATACATAGATATAGATATATATATATATATGTATACATAGATATATAGATATATATATATATATATGTATACATAGATATATAGATATATAGATATATAGATGTATCGCGATATAATGCTATATATATAGCTCTATATATATATATATAGATAGATATAGATGTGTAGATGTGTAGATACGTAGATACGTAAATACCTAGATACCTTACATCCATTACATGCCTTACATACATTACATACATTTCATGCCTTACATACATTACATACATTAATTGTATTACATGCAATACATGCACTACATGCATTACATGCATTGCATGCATTACATACCAACATGGCGGCATCTGCCTGATTGGCTGACGAACTGGAACATAGTCTTAAAAAGTGGCAGAAATATACGGAAACCAAAACCTACTTTTTGACAGCCGAAACCTGTTCGTCAGGAACTAAGATTGATAAGGTGCCCTGGGGGGAAAGACTTGTTGTTCAGCGATATCCATAAAGAACCTTTCTACATCGTGTAGTCTATATATCATATAATCATATAATCATATAATCATATAATCATATAATCATATAATCATATAAAAATAATAATATAATAATACAATAATATAATAATATAATAATATAATAATATAATAATATAATAATATAATAATATAATAATATAACAATATAACAATATAACAATATAATAATATAACAATATAACAATATAACAATATAACAATATAACAATATAACAATATAACAATATAACAATATAACAATATAACAATATAACAATATAAGAATATAAGAATATAAGAATATGATAATATGATAATATGATAGTATGATAATATGATAATATGATAATATGATAATATGATAATATGATAATATGATAATATGATAATATGATACTACGGTGGGTGGAAGAAATCCTGCACCACCTCTATAACCTTAGATTTGCTAATGCATAACTTGTAACCCCGTACCCCCAAGCTCAATGTTGAATGACATGTTGACAGGTGGTGCAAGATTTCCGTCACTCGCGCAAATCCATTTTGATCACTGTGCTTTCAAACAATACTAAATTAGGAGCGCGAGGTTTCAAGTGTAGGCCTTTGAAAGTGGTGCAGGATTTCTTCCATCAACAGTATGATACTATGATACTATGATACTATGATACTATGATACTATGATACTATGATAATATGATAATATGATAATATGATAATATGATAGTATGATAATATGATAGTATAATAGTATAATAGTATAATAGTATAATAGTATAATAGTATAATAGTATAATAATATAATAATATAATAATATAATAATATAATAATATAATAATATAATAATATAATAATTAATATAATAATATAATAATATAGTAATATAGTAATATAGTAATATAATAATATAATAATATAATAATATAATTATATAATTATATAATTATATAATTATATAATAATATAATATTTAATAATATAACAATATAACAATATAACAATATAACAATATAACAATATAACAATATAACAATATAACAATATAACAATATAACAATATAATAATATAATAATATAATAATATAATAATATAATAATATAATAATATAATAATATAATCATATAATCATATAATCATATAATCATAGAATCATAGAATCATAGAATCATAGAATCATAGAATCATAGAATCATAGAATCATAGAATCATAGAATCATAGAATCATAGAATCATAGAATCATAGAATCATAGAATCATAGAATCATAGAATCATATAATCATAGAATCATATAATCATATATGAATACATATATAGTAATTGCATCACAGCACGACCCTCATTCCACCCGAACCAATCTTACAAGTCATAAAATTCTGCAGAAGTTCTGTGTTTTGGTGTTTTCCTCGCCGCGGCACTGGCACGTTTCACGACAAAGATAGTCAGATTTCTCCAGCGGTCGTTTTGCTTCCGGAAAATACCTCGGTTCCATGAAGTTGACCAATGCCCCAAGAAATACTGGTGGACCAACTCCTGAAGAAAACATCAGAGAGAAAGAAAACGCATCCCCCATGTGGGCCTGGGATGCCAAAATCATGGACAAGTGAGAGTGGTTTCAGATTATCGTGTTTTGACATGGTCCGGACAGCAAAACATCTAGCCCATACAGAGCTGTTCAAATTCTGGAAGGGTACAAAAAGTTCACGGTTTTTTCAGGACATAAAAATCACAAGAGTACCCCCCTGCACAAAAAAATGCATGAGTTGTGACTTTTCGACCATTGTCTTCGCTTAGATATTGAAAACACCTCGCTAACAACACGGTTCTTCAAGAGACTGGTTGACATCATCGGACGACATGACGTCCATCACCCGCTTTCCATCTATCATTTTGGCGGATTTGTATTCCTCGGCTGAAAAATTCAAACCGATTCAAAATCATTGAGCCAATTCATGCTGAATAAAGATCAACTAGCTATTTGAGCGAACATTTGACTGAAAATTGATGAAAATGTTTATCTCATATAGTTTGTTAGATCTCCAAAGCAGTTCGTCTTTTCAATCAAGTCGCTAACACAATCATCACATGGGTTTTCATTTTTTCGACACAAAAAATTGGTTTGACATTTCCATTATGCCTGAGTATCATTGAAAAAAAAACAGTTCCAAAAGGGCGAACCTCGATGATTCGACAAACTCTGAAGTGCCCAGTGTCTCCAGGTTCGGCTACACAGCTGTGTAGCGGAGCATTGGGATCGCGGTATTTGAGGCCAACGACGATTCCCTTGTGAAAGCCGTTGCATTTGCTCGTGCAACACGTTCCAATTCCAAGACTGCTGCACCACCATCTCTCTTGGTCCCACAATCTCTCTTGGTCCTGCAAACATTGAGGTGAATCGATGACATGCATTAAATTGAAATTGTAATCACAAAAATTGACAATATGTCCAGTCAAATCACGTCACACAATGTTCCTGAACTATATGGGCAACCAAAACCATCAACCCCACGACTCAACAACACGGCGACACTGTCCATTGAATTCTATAGGTCTATAAGTTGATAAGTCTATAAGTCTATAAAGGGTTTATTGATCCGTGGACTGGCATCCATACGTAACGGAATGGCAGATAGCTGTAGCCAAGCCACACCATACTGGATCTACGTCTGTCAAGAAACAAAACATCTGTCCTGTCGAAGAGACAAGACTTGAGTCCAACACAACATAATATTAAGAATAATTCCTCGATTGCACACACTACGCATGGTTCTGCCACCGGTATATCCGAAAAACTGTGAGCCAAATATCTGCTGCACGGGTGAACATAGCGCCTCTCAGGCGACCCCACTGTTACACGAACTGTGCTGCCGATCTGCGCCGTTTTGTTTCGAAAAAAATCATGGCTGTCCTGGAATGGTTGCATGAATGTTGTTGGTTGCGGTTGTTTGCAAAAGTTTATGGTGTCCTACTTCTACGTTGGCAACCGAGGCGGAAATGTTTGGAAAAGTGCAGGTTTGCACATACTTTTGTTGTCTCGTCTCTTTACTTGTTTTGTTTGGGCCACAAGCGCCTCACGATACGTACATACCGCACGTATCAGGAATTTTCTTACAAATTTCCAGTTTTGACATAGGTGCGTGGTTTTCACGATACTGATGCCTTGTGGGCGCACGCATCAAGGCAGGGTGCAACATGTTTTCAATAGTTGTACGTTCGTAGTTTCATGTTGGTGGCATCTTCCATTCTGTCTTGGATCTAGTCCAACATGTTCATGACAACCGGCCGGTCAACGGCCTGAGGTTGAGCCTCATGTGCGAAAAAGCAGCCACACGTTTTTCTGAGCCAGACAGGCCTATGCGGTCAAGTGCATTTCACATGCCAACGTCAATGAAAACTTGGTACACTTCATCAAGATTTGTGCTGTGTCCATGGCTGTAGACTCTGTCAACAATATTTCTCACTCCTCCTTGGGGCTTCGAGTGGTTGAAATCAATGCCCCATCCACATTTTGCGTCTCTGCTTTGCGTAATTGACTGCATTTATCAGTCCCCTCACAGTTTTCCAGAGAAAAAGCACGTTGGTGGATTCTTTTTGCAATTCATCCAGCGTAGTTTTCTGAGATCCTGTCATAGCGCGTAGCACTTTCCCATCTGCTTTGATCTTCTGCAGCTTTCCTCAAATCTCTGAAAAATCTGGAAATTTTGTTTCGAAACATGCCAACGGCCTCTGCTCTGACACTGTCGCGCACCTTTCCAAACATTCAAGCACCAAGTTTTGAATTCTGTTTGAATCCCACCATTCACCATTTTGACTGCATCTAAGTTGTTCATCTTTCAAAAACTCTACCATTCCAGTCTGTGAATCAACAGCCGTAATGCGCGCTGTTTTGTGCCTAAAGGGCCTGGCAATGTAGATTCAGACATGATTTCATGTCCATGTGAGCTGGAATGGATTCCTACACTGACATCTCGTTTTGTGCGTGTCATCCTTGCTTCCATGACTGCCATGCCACACATGAGCACTGTTCAAAGTATTTCGTACTCCTCCTCAAAAAGGCTGAGTTTTCAACTTGCCTCTTTTGTAAATCTCTTGGCATCCGTGACAGTCTCTTCAGCGCTTCTTTCTGAAAAGCTATCAATTTGAAAAGCCAAATTGAATTCTCATCCACGCATAATTCCATGGAGGTCCTCCACATATCGTAGGTATGATCCTGCACGGTCATTGTGTCCACGGTCTCGAGCTAACCTGTGCAGTCTTTGGAAAATTCCTCTGATCCTCTCAATCACGCCCTTAGCCATAGTCATCCCAACAGGATTTGTTCCAGAACTTGCATCCAGAATTGTAATCAACGCCTGTTGGATCATTGAGGCGTCCTCCCATGCTTCTCTTGTCAAAGCAATGTTTTGTTCTCTCCTCATTGCGTCCATCAAATTGCTCATACCTTCTGTAGATGAAGGCTCAACTTCATCATCTGTCAATCGTTCCTCTTCTGCATCTTCCAAAGGGTCAGTGTCATCTGGTCTGTTCCTCTGCATGTTCCATAGGACAAAATTCGCCCTGTCCTGAGTGAACATATGGGTTCTCTGTTGGCCTGTGAGGCTTTGGTTCCTCACAAAACCTCCAAACTCCATCAACCCATAGCGCACAACGTCAGTTGCATCGTCCAAAACAGTCAATGCATCTCGTGTGTCATCAGCATTGGTTGAAATGCGATGTGATAACTGATCCAATCGTTCACCCAGGGCATGGATTGCATCTCTCATCCACGTCATACTGTCCAACCTTTCACAAAGCCATGCAGCATACTCATAGTGATCTGCTAACTGGGTTTCCACGTTTTCCATGTCTTTTCTCATCTGCATCCATTTGCGCCAGCCAAACCGGCAAAATGCCGCAAGAAAAATCACCAGAAAAATTCCCAAGCACTTGTGCCACTGCTCGGTTCAGAACACTGCTGAGCATCTGCAACCACCGGCCCAAGGCCCATAGCAACGCTCATGTTGAAAAGAGTTTTGGCTATCCCTATCCTTTTGATCTGTTGGCTATTGGCGCTTTTCTCCTTTTGTTGTTGTGCTTCTTCCCATCCAACCTCTTCACCAGTTGCAACATAAATTAAACTAATTAAACCACTTTCATTCATCAAATAAGAAAGCCTTTGTTTTGCCAAGTTCTTTGTCCCAATGTCAGCCAAGTTCACAGCTGTAGGCAGTTGCCTGAGAATCACCTATTTGTCGTTCACCATCTGCTGTACCCATAAAACCTTTCCAGACAAGTGTCGAACTTTTCCAACACCTTGACGACTGGCCAGCTGTCTGGCACTGCTGCTGTCTGTGAATTGCACATGGTGAATAGCTTCTCCCAGAACAAACTGCGCACATGTTATAATGAAAAGGCCATCGCACATTGAGCTTACCAGGCTCTGAAGCTCACTTTCAGGATGAAAGTGAAATAGTTTTCTGAGTCCTGCTGCTACCGTAGAGGAAGGAATTGTTGAGGAAGTGCATCCCACATGATGTGCTGCGCCCGTGGGATCGATTTGCGCTCCAGTCAGCGTCACTGTATGTTTCCAGAATCCAAAAGTGTTCACCATCATTGGAAAATTTTCCCTGACCTGGGAGAGGCATCACAAGTTTTACACCAACGTCACCAACATGCTTCATGTACCCCACCAGCTTACGTAGCCGCTGAAGTCCTGTCAATGTTGGACTTAACATTCCACTAGCCAACTCCTTAATTGTAAACATCAGGTCAGGACGTTCTCGACCAAGGTACAGGCACAATCCAACAATTGATCGATATGCTGGATTCAACTTTTGAGAAACATCTTCCATCTGGATTTCAGCACTGCATGGAATCTTCTGAACTCTCGCAACGCCAAATGATTCCTCGAAAACCTTCACCACTTTGGAAATACTGATGCCTGGAGTCAGCATCAGCCAATCACCGATGTCTGTCACTTTGCGTCTCAAGAAACTGACACTTGTTCCAACTCCATCCAGCTGAGAATGTGATATGGAAAACTTCTCACTCATGCGCTTCAGAAAAACATCCTGCCAGTAAGCTCTGCTCCCAACAATCATGATGTCATCCACATGAATTATGATCGTACCGCTTTTGTTCCTGGCAAGACACGGTTGTTCATTGCAAAACTCAAACTCAAGTTCCTTGCTGAGGAAATCACGCAGGCATTCATACCAGGCTCGATCACCTAATCTTTGACCAGGAAGATTGCGTTGTATCACATACTTTTCTCCATGTCTGGTCACAAGAATTGGCTCTTGTTGTGCAACTTGCAAAAACGCATCTTTCACATCCAAACAACCAAGCACCACCTCATTTGCGTTGTCCTCACTCATCTCTGAAGCCAATTGTTTCCGCCACAGATATTTCAACGGGAGTAAGTTTGAAGTGTGAGCTCCTGTTGCTGGACTGAATGTGTCCCATCTGCTTTTTTTTCTTCTGGTTTGGCCGATGTTGCTCTGAGGCTCGGTCCTGAAATTGTTATAAGCAGGTCAAACTAATTAAAAACTCTACAAGAAACGCAGTGGTTCGAGCTATACTATACATTGACAAATCAACACATCAACAGAACAAGAAAAAGCGCAGCCAGATTTGCGTTTCGCCAAGGGAAGCAACAGCGAAGCAACAAAAGAAAAGGGGCCAGGGCCCAACACAAAACGAAAAACACACACGATTTGCCAAAGGACACAGAGGGAGTTTCCCACCGTGTCACAGAAACATGCAGAGACCGAGACTAATTGTGTACATCCACCAGTGGCTAAGCAGACAAAGTGAGACAGAAAAATATTTCAATTGCAGGTGTAGTTGCGAAGCAATTTGAAAAGCTGTACACTGCTGAAGCGTCCTCTTCAGAGTCCTCTCACGTGTACTTTTGCTAGCATCCGCCGTAGTGTGACCTCTGGGTAGAAAGAGAAGCTTTGCTATCCAGCACTCAAGTTGAGAGCAGCGGCCCAAACGTATCTCATATGTCTGCTGGCAGGCCGTCCCCCCAAAGAGGGGGAACGGCAAAGTAGCCCTGATGACGTGAGTGACCTGGGCAGGGCCGGACTGCCAGTCACCAAAAAAAACGGGTCTCTCCGAGGTAACAAGGCAAATAGCGATTACTAGTCGCACTCAATTTGTAAAAGCGTCATGCAACGGTGTAATGATGGTTTTTTTTCTCCCTTCGCCTCTTGGCTTTCGCCAGGTCGATCCACACGCTATATTTGCATGCAGCATGTTTTGCATTAATTAGTGCATTGGAATGCAACGGTGTAATGATGGTATTGGGCATAAAAAAGTCATAGCGTAAGGCAGCGTATTGTTCAGGCACCTGCAGAGTGTCATCGTCTCTTACTGGTGTGTGCAACACAATGCCAAACTGGGAGGTCATATAAATGTTCCTACAGCAGAACCTCAGCAATTCAGTAGTCACACCCAAAACCACCACTCAGCTGATGGGTTTGTATCGCCGCAGGGACGATGCACAGGGGCGCACTGAGCTGTCCAGCAGAGAGCAGCACTGGACGGCGCCAGTGCAACTCGCTGGAAGCGCAGCATCAGTCCATGGCGACGGCCGGCTACGTCCCCACCCCCAATTCCCAACTCACAAAACAAAAAAGAAGGCAGTCGACCCAATACAAAATGACACCAAAACAACGCAAAAGGAAACGAATTCAGAAAGGGGATGAAAGGAGAGGGGCAAGATCCCACCTCCAAATAAGACCTTAGCATTCCATAAGCTGGGCCTTAGTGCTCATGGCAG